AGCAGGACAGGTCAGGGCTTTGACTCTCATGCGGTGATGGCAGGTCCATTGCAGCGGGTGCTGCTCCTCTGGGGGCTCAACAGCCCTTCTCAGGTGTTTGCTTCCATGCTGGTCCCATGCTGGTTCCTTGCAGGTTCCTTGCCCTTCCAGCATCAGCTGTGGCACAGAGGTCTGGTCTGATAGGAAGTGTGTCTGGGTATCCCTGTGGTTACAAGGACAGTGTGTGTGTGCCAGTCCGACTGCTGACACCAAGAGATGCTGGTGACTCCAGTAAGGTGTTCAGTGGGACCTTCATGCAGTACTGTGGCTGTTGCTCAGCCCTGTTTGCCCTGAGTGCTGCCACCTCTGTGCCACTGCAGCTCCTCGTGCCACCACAGCTCTTTGTCAGCAGCCAACTATAAACAACGAGCACAGGCTGAGGTCGGCAGGGCCCTAATCCCTTTCCCTTGTGTCTCTTTCCTCTCCAGTCGGACCAGGAGAGTTGTAATAGACCTTCTTACTAAATTAAATGTAGAGGCTGCTCCTCCAAGGCACGTTTCAGTTCAACCGTAGTGTTTGATTTCCCAGCCACAGCAGTATCTTTGTCAGCAGCCAACTATAAACAACGAGCACAGGCTGAGGTCGGCAGGGCCCTAATCCCTTTCCCTTGTGTCTCTTTCCTCTCCAGTCGGACCAGGAGAGTTGTAATAGACCTTCTTACTAAATTAAATGTAGAGGCTGCTCCTCCAAGGCACGTTTCAGTTCAACCGTAGTGTTTGATTTCCCAGCCACAGCAGTATGGTGCCTCCAGGGAAAAAGCCAGCTGGGGAAACTTCCAATTCCAATAAAAAGTGTAAGCGCTATTTCAATGAGCACTGGAAGGAAGAATTTACCTGGCTGGAGTTTGACTATGAGAGGAAACTCATGTTTTGCATAGAGTGTCGGCAGGCGCTGGTGAAGAACAAGCACGGTAAAGCAGAGAACGCCTTTACCGTGGGCACCGACAACTTCCAGCGCCACGCGCTGCTGCGCCACGTCACCTCCGGCGCGCACCGGCAGGCGCTGGCGGTGAACCGGGAGCAGTTGGCCTTCGAGACCCGTGTCCACGGCCACCCGGAGCTGCGCTCGGCCGTCAAGGTGGAGGTCAACCCAGCAAAGGTGGCCGTGCTCACCACTGTCTACTGGATGGCGAAGGAGGAGATCCCAGATGAGAAGTGCTCCTCCCTGCTCGACTTCCAGAAGTTCAACCTGTGCCAGGCGCTGCTGGCTGCGGAGCACGGCGAGCGCTACCAGCCCGGCAGCGTCAGGGAGATGCAGGTGTGTATGTGGAGCAGGGCTCTGTGGCTGCTGCGGGGCCAGGTGGTGCCACCAGATGTGGTGAGAGCCAGGAGGGCCAGAGCTGGGTGCTGCAGTGGTGGACATGAGCTGGTGTCCCTGGTGTGCAGGCAGAGCTGGGCTGGGCAGGAGCACCGGCAGCATTTGCTGATGGGCAGACCTCTGTCCCCATCCTTGGGCAGGGACCTCTGTCCCCATCCTTGGGCAGGGAAACAGGCCCCGTGGCACCAGGACGTGTCTGTGCTGTGCTCGGGGCCACCAGCCCAGTCATGCAGCCAGGCTGTGCCAAGGGATGACCAGGACCCTCAGGGGAGCCGGGTGATACTCCTGTTCTCCAGGATTTTCAGTGAGTCTGAAAGATCCTCCACACGGAACACTTTGCTGGTGTCATTCCCTGATTTGACAAACCAGGAGAAGGTGATGGGCTGTGTAGAGGAGCCTGGGCCTCCTGGCTCTGCATGTGCTTCCAGACATGCAGGGAGACTGGGAGCATCCTCTCCAGTTGGAGCCGGCTGGGTGCCTGAGGCATAGGAACTCAGGAGTTCAATTAGCACAGGAGCTCTGTGGGCTTTTCCTCTTTTGCCCTAAAATGAGCAATCAGAAAAATCAAGTAGCCAGAGACCTTAGAAAGGATTTTCTTAATTTTACAAATGCTACATGCCTGTTAAAATCATATTAATTTTTTTAGTGAGTCTTGGCTGCATGCCAGGCTTTTTAGATCTCTACAATCCCTTATTTTGCTGCAGATAGACTAAATCCACTAATTAGATTTCTCAGCCTGAAGTGCTGCTTACTGTGTTCACACACCAAGGAAGTTTTTCCTTTCACATCGGAGAATTTGCCTGAAATGGGGAGAACAGAGTAAGGAAGGAAGAGATGCTGGGAAGTGTGGCTGCTGTTCTGCCCTGGGCTGGGCTCCTGGAGCACAGAAGCGGTTGCTGAAGTTTGACCAAGGGCAGCAGGGTTCAGCCTCTTGCCTGGCTCTGGGCACAGGCAGGGCTGGGGGACAGGGCTCAGTGCTGCCACAGTTTGGGCTTCAACCCCAGCTCAGGGACCCCTGACCTCTCCGCAGCTTCATTCAGTGCTGGTGCCACAGGCCAGAAGTGGGAGGAAATGGGATATTGGGAAAAAAGACTGTCTGAAGTTTGACCAAGGGCAGCAGGGTTCAGCCTCTTGCCTGGCTCTGGGCACAGGCAGGGCTGGGGGACAGGGCTCAGTGCTGCCACAGTTTGGGCTTCAACCCCAGCTCAGGGACCCCTGACCTCTCCGCAGCTTCATTCAGTGCTGGTGCCACAGGCCAGAAGTGGGAGGAAATGGGATATTGGGAAAAAAGACTGTGATTTCCAGCCTGTGTATGTGCTGTATGTACAGCTGGCTGAGGGGTTCGCTCCACCCAGCACCTCGTGCCACTTTTGGGGAGCTCTGGGAGCCTCGTGCTGCGCGTCTCCTGGTGCTTTGAAGTTCATTTGTGTTTCTTTCTCCTCCCCTGCCCCGTGCACCTCCTTTAACTGGCTCAGGCAGCGATCGCCAGGGTCCTGCACAACGAGGACAGGCACAGGATAAAAGCCTCGCCCTTTGTCGGGCTGGTGGTGGATGAGACAGTGGATGTCCTGGAGCGCCGCAGCCTGGCCATGTTCACCACCACCGTGTCCCCCTGCAGCGGGCAGACCTCGGCCACCTTCCTGGGGAGCTTCGAGCTGCTGGCTGGGGAGGCTGCCACGGTGGCAGGCAAGGTGGGCGAGGTGCTGCGCTCCTTTGGCATCCCCACCATGAAGATCTCCTGGCTCAGCGCCGACAGCGCCTCGCTGGTGGCCCAGCGGCTGAGCGGGGTGGGGGCGGCTCTGGCCTCTCCCTGCCCGCTCCCACTCCTCATGGACTTGCACTGCCTGTCCCATGGGAGCTCCCTGCTGCCTGCCAACAGCATCCTCAGTATTGAATACCTCCAGGAATATGAGACCACAGTAGATGCCGTGTACAGGCTCTACTCCAGCTTCAGTGGGGAAAAAAATGGCCTGCAGGAGCTGCGGAGCGTCCTGGATCTCTGTGAGATAGACCTCGGGAGCCCCAAAGCCATCCACTGGACTTCTGTTTTCCCAGCTGTGGAAGCCATCGATTCCTCGTGGCCCACACTGGTGCTGCTGCTGGAGAGCGAGGCAGAGCGGTCGCCCGTGGCCCACGGCCTCTGCAAAGAGCTCAAGAAGTTCCAGTTCGTGGCCTTCACCAAGATTCTCCTGGACGTCCTCCCTATCTTCCAGAAACTCAGCCGCTTCTTCCAGATCGAGGACTTCGACCTCTCCATCCTGAAGCCCATTGTCTCTGCCACAGCCACCACCCTGCAGGCCCAGAAGAGCACCAGCGGCCAGAACCTCCAGGAGTTCCTCAACGAGATGAACGAGCACCCACGGGATGACCGGGAGGATGAGAGCCGCCTCTACTACAAGGGTGTTGAGCTGACCAACTGCTCCAAGGTGCACCTGAAGCACTTTGAGCACCTGAAGGAGAACTACCTGGAGAGCGTGCGGGGCAACCTCCTGGACAGGTTCCCCAGCAGTGTCCTGGAGGCCATCAGCTCCTTCTCTGCCATCTTCAACCCCAAGTGCTACCCCCAGTCTTTGGAGGACATTGGCAGCTATGGGGTCAGCGAGCTGAATTTCCTCCTGCAGGCTTATTCCTGGGTGGTGGTGAGCGAGAGGGCCCTGAGCGATTTCCCCCTCTTCAAGCGCATCGTCTTCAGCCTCAGCCAGCTCTCCTTCAAAGACCTCTGTGTCAAGCTGGTCTACAGCAACTCTGAGATGCACGAGCTCTTCCCAGACTTCGCCGTCCTCGCAGCCATCGCCCTGGCCTTGCCGCTGGGCTCGGTCCTCGCTGAGAAGATCAGCCGGGGCCGGGAGCTGCTGAAGCGCGGCCGCCTGCGCCACCTGAAGGACGAGGGTCTCTCCCACCTGATGAAGATCGCCATCGACGGGCCGGCCGTCAGCGAGTTCGACTTTGCCTTGGCCATCGAGTGCTACGAGAGCACGAGGGACTCCGGGTTCCTCGTGGCGCAGGTGCAGTGAGGGGCAGCCGGGTCCCGCGGGAGCCCTGAGCGCCGGGTTGTTGCCACCTTCCCCATCGCTGGTCACTGCTGGGTGGACGCTGGGGCAGGGTGACCTGCTCCACGTGAGGAAGAGGAGACGGGATCCTTCATGGAGCAGTGCCAGTCCCACCACCACCCCTCTCTTATCCCCCAAACATCCATCTGACTTGGCCAGGATTTGGAATGTTTGGGCCACCTGAAATCCCAGATTGCCTTGAGTTTGGGTTTTTTTCAATGATTTATCATTCTTTGGTTTTAGGGAGATGAAGGCAAATCTCTTCAGCTCAAATGTCACTTTGCCTTGGCACATTGATACCCAGCAGCTTTTACCTAATACTCTGCAAAAATACCTGATTTTTGTTGTTTTGGAGCCTTGAGGAGGAGTGCAGAAAAGGCAGCACATCTTTCTAGCTCTGTGGCCTGCCCCAAAATGCCCAGCAGTGTCTTGTGGGTGTCCCTTGTGCACAGAGCAAAATATTTTCAGCAGTGGCATCAAATCATGGTCCTTTCAAGAGCAAGTGAGTTAGAGAATGGTATTGTAACCGCCAAGGAAACGGTGACTTTAAAATGCATCGTTGTGTATATATGTGTATGTGTATATATATAAAAAATATATATAAATATATATATTAAAAAGGTCTATCTTAATTTTCCTAGTGTTTAAAATACAAAGATACCTAGAATTGCTTTTTTTGCAATGACAGAATAAATTATAAGCTGGGGTCCAAAAGTACTAAACAGCGAATTCCTGGTCTTTTCAAAACACCATCACGTACGTTCCCTCCTCACCCTGAGCTCCCAACCACCTTTCAGGAAAAGAGTCTTTTAACATCTGATTTTTTTGACAAACCAGAGTTTTTCAGCTGATGGTTTTGCTTTTCCTTGTGCCCTGAAGGGAGTGGAGCCATTGGGAGCCCTGTGGGGCTGCATGTGCCAGAACAGTGACCAGGGTGGGCAGTGGTGGCACGTCAGGGTGTCGTGGTTCTTCTCTGGTTTTAGCACAGAGGGTTGTTTCTGTCAGTTCTGTTGGGGTGGGTGAGAAGACCTTTGGACCCACTGGACTCTGCAGTAAAGCCACAGCCACAGCCTGAAGCATTGAGTCAGTTTGACCCCCAGCACTGGGTCCTCCCATGGGATTTGGCTCTGCTCCACTCCTGGGTAAGTTTGTGTGGACACCGGGTCCATGTGCAGCAGGATTTGGCCTCAGTGCTGATGGTTGGTCCTGTGCAGTTGCCTCCAGCTTGGACTTGTGCTGGAGCAACATGGTGTGGTGGAGTTGGGCTGGCTGCTCCCAGCCAGCCTTGTGCTTGTGGTGGTGGAGAACAAAGCCAGAATTTCTGTCCTCGGGGCTGGTGGCAGGTGTGACTGCTGGTGGCTCAGGGTCTGTGTCCTTCCAACTGGTCCATAGGGGGAGATGCTGGGTTGATGGCAAGTGTTGGGGTGAAGGCAGCTTGCTCCCAGGCATCCCCAGTTCAGTGTGTGGTTCTTGGTGTGCCCTGGTTCTGCCAGCCTGGCCTTGCCATGGGCTGCTGGCCCAGCTGCATGGGTGGAGGAGGCAGCTGTTGGAAGCTGGAAATAGGAGGATTTAGCAGGATGATGCTCACAATGTGCACCATCCGCTGCGGGGGCCGCGGAGCAAACCTGCCGTGCTGGGGCGGCCGCAGCATCGCTGGCAGATCTGTGCCTCTGGGTCCGGGTGGGATTTGCTGGCTCTGGGAGCTTGAGGCTGCACAGTCTGCTCAGTATTGATGATTCTAAAGCCAAGCTGGAGGCACTGGGGAGGGTTGGATGCTGGGCAGTGTGGGGGCTGCTCCAGTGCTGCTGTCGTGGTCCAGCACGGTGACCAGAGGGTTGCTCTCCATGGTGACCTTTGGCATCAGGGAGCGCACACTTGTTTCTAGATGCTTGGAAATAGCTGGAGTGAATCAGCCCGGTGCTTGGCCGAAGACAAAAGCTTTAAAGCCTCGGGTAAGGAATTTGAGACACCACTAAAACTTGCCGAGAACACCTACCAAGGGGGAGGGAGGGAGCCCGGCGGCTCCTGTGCAAGTAAACAGCTCCGTCTCCATCTGTCCTGGGCAGACTCGGTGCCAGAAGCTCTGGCGAGGCAGCCGGCGCCTGCCAGGATGGGTCCTTGGCAAGTCCTCGTGTTGGTATGAAAACTCCCTGCGTTGTCCCTGCCGCTCTCAGAGGTGTTTGGAGGTTCACACCTACATAGTGTTAGAGCGCAACAGCTGCTCTGATCTGCCTCACCAGGGAGCAGGGAGAAAACCTGCTGCAGACACGTGTGTCCTCGCTGTGCAGGGCAAAGAGATGGGGGGACAGGCTGGGGACAGACACTGGACATGGTTCTGGGTGGGCTTGGTGAGACGAAGAGCTGAAACGTGGGTTTAAATTTCAAGGGACCCCTTGGAGAGTCGTGTGCCTGTGGGCCAGGAGCTGGGCTGGGCAGGGCTGAGCTGATGGGGCTGAGCCCCAGGCAGGGGGTGTGTGACATGGAGAGGTGATGCCGTGGGGCTCAGTGTCTTTTTGGTCAGACCTGGATGCCCTGCTAAGAAGAGCCATGTACCCCCCCTGCAGGGGGCAAATGGGCCCCCCAGGCTGCAGCAGATGCTTGTGCCAGGGACACAGGGCTCCTGTGCTCCCTTCCCCGTGCCAGTCTTGGAGTGCCCCATGGAGCCCCAAGCATGGTCCAGAGGGACCCATGGTGCCAGAGCAGCCACACTTGCTGCAGCAGGGGGTCTCCTCTGCCAAAGTGGGGGGAGAGACAAGGCCAGCGCCATGGGGGGGGATGGCCCCGCTCCTCTGCACATGTGGGTTTGCCATTCACCAGCAAAGCCCACCCTGCCCATGGCCATGCCTGTCACCTTGAGTAAGGTCGTGTCATTCTATACAGACTTGGGGCCCCTGCCACTCTCCCTGGAGCAAATCCCCTTAATTGAGTGGCTAATTAATACCTAAAAATACAGCCCGCAGCTGCTGCCGGAATCTGCCCCGCAGCAAAGGTATGGCTGAAGCTGCAGTGGGGTGGCCCTGTGACCTTGGAAGGTGCCCCAGGAGCATCGTGTGGGTGCCTGGGCAGCTCGTTCCTCACTGGGGAGCTCAGCTGGCCCCAGGGCTGTGGCCAGGTGGTTCATCTGCCCTCTCTCTGTGCACTGCTTGTGCTTTTGTGATCATCTGAGGCCCAGGCAGACTGAAGATGATGGTGGCCCTGTCCCTGTCCCTGTTGCTGCTGTCTCATGTCCCCTCTGGCCAAGGGACAGTGAGCAGGCCGCCTGCAGCCCAAGCCCTTTTGGTGCGGGGCTTTGATGAATCTGGGGCTTCCAGCCTCTCTCCTGCTCGTGGGGTCTTGTCTGCTTCAGTAGCAAAACCAGGGGGACACTTCCTGCCCCTCTGCAGGTCCTGTCTCAGCTTGGGCCCCTGGGCTCTCTCTTAATAGCCTGTTTCACCCCTGGGCTGCAGACCCAGGCCAGAAATGCGATTAATCCACAACTTACTGATGGCAGGGGCAGGCATGTTCGCCCGTTCTCTCTCCCCACCCCCCGGTGGTAAATGTAATATTTATTTGTTTGTTTGTTTATTTTTAAGGGCAGGGCAGGCTGGTGCTGACAAAGGCAGAAGCCCCAGGAATCCTGCCCCAAAGGCTGGTGCTGTGGCTGCTGCTCTGTGCAGGGTCGTGGCTGCGTGTGCAGGCTGGGGGTCCCTGGGGGCCGCCCCCCATCTCAGATGATTTGATGCAGAAATACTGTTTCACGCCTCAGAAGGTTAATTATGCATCGTTCACCCATTTCTGCTTGCTTTGGTTCCCTCCCTCGTCGCTGTCACTGTAATTTTATTTATTTATTTTTAAACAGTTTCACGAATTTCCCTTCTGGGCGACTCTGGAATTAACTCGATCAGCACACGCCCAACGAAGCAAAATGAGATTTTTCCCTGGGTCGCCCGGCCCGGGGACGGCGCCGGTGCCGCCGGGTGAGCAATCCCAGAAAGAGGTCGTTGCTGCCCGCGGGGTGAGCGCTCGCTCCTCCAGTTCAGAAAATCTCTCAAACTTTGCATTTCAGCTTTGTACCCCAGGTCCTGCACCAGCAGAGACTCAGGGTGCTGCTCAGCCGGGGCAGCCCGGCCCCGCGGTGCCCTCGAGGTGAGAAAGGACCTACAAATAAACAAGAAGGAACGTTTTCCTGATCCCTGTTCCAGGCAGAGGGAGCAGGTTCCTGAGAGGGGCTGAAGGAGACACGAGGCTGTGAGGGATATGAATGGGCTGTCATGGCTCACAGTGTTTTGGAACCTTTTCTTATTTTTTGTATTTTATTAATTGTTTTGTTTATTTTAACTTTTCCCCTTCCTCAGAGCTGTTCAGGTGCTTTCCCAGCGAGGGGAAACCTGCTGCCCTCGGGCTGTGGAGCAGGGTGAAGCACTGGGATGGGCAGGGGGCTGGAGGCACAGCCTCCCTGTTTGGCCTTCCCTCCTTCCCAGGGGGGATTTCTTTTTAAACAGAAAATGATTAATATTTTGAAATCACACACTGGTTTGTTTGCAGGGGATGATGTGAGGCAGCACCTGGGGCTGCCTGGGCTCCCGTGGGAGAGCCCAGGGGAGGGACCAGAGTTTTGATGCCTTTTGGAGGGCTCAAAGTGAACATGTGCCGTGTCCCCATGTGCCATGTCCCCCTGCTGTGAGCATTAATACTGTCTCTTCTCTCTGCCTGCCCAGGTCCCTCTGGACACAGCAGCCCCCTCTTAGCGTCGTTGCCTATTCCCGGCCGGCCCCTCCACCCCCCCTTGGACATCAAGCACTTTCTGACCTTCAGGCTCAACGGGACGTCACCGCTCAACCTCTTCCCCAACTTCAACACGGTGAGTCCCTGGGGGTGGGTGGGCATCAGCTGCTGGGTCCTTCCTCCCCTGCAGTGCTCCCAGGCTCCTAAATCCTATCAGGTAATTTCTGAGTTAATTACCAGGGTCTTTGGCTACTGGACACTAGTGCACCACACCCCTCCTGCCCTTAACTTGGAGCAGTTCCTGCCCAGCTGTCACCCTCTTATATCAAAATTAAAAAGATGGTTCACTTTAACAAAGATCAATTTGATTTTGCTCCTGGATCAATAGTAATAAAGTAGCTCTAGAGAGCAGTTAGTTAGTTGAAAAATAAACCAAGACAAGGAGAGGAAGAGAGAGAAGGCATATAAACACCCTAGGAATGTGGCTGGTGCTGGGAGGATCAGGTGAGCCTGGTCACTGCTGGACTTCTCCCACTGCCCAGATGGACTCAAGGCTCCCAACCTTGGACCACCAGACCAAGTGCTGGGGTTGTGCAATTGAACATATCTCTCCAGAGATGTTGTGTTCTACATCTAAACTGACACGGATGTGGCCAAAGACGACGGTATCTTGGGAGTGAAATGGTGTTTCCCCCCCGCCCTGTGCTGCTCTCCCCAGACTGGTCTCAGCTCAGCCAGAGTCTCCATCTCCCAGGCATGGCCCTCTTGCTGATAGGAGGGCTGGGATCCAGAAGCCCCTCTCTTGGTCCCTGTCCTGGTGTTTCAGCCACCTGGCTTTCCTGGGACATGGGTCTTGGTATGGCTAGAGGAGTGGCAGGTCCTGCTGTGGTGAAGGGAGCAGGACCAGCACAGAGGTAGGGGGGTGTTTCGGGGCTTGGTAAATGCCTGGTTTTATCCCTCATGAACCTGGAAACAAGACTTTCCTGAGCTCCCCCCCCTTCCGCTCACCAACCTTTTGTAAGTGGCTTTGAGATTAAATGTGCTCGGAAGGTGCAAATTATCGCCGAGATCTTCAAAGGCGGCCGCAGAAATTAAGCACAGGATCCCTGTTGCTGTTGAGTGGGATTCAGCCGTCTAACTCCTTTAAGCTCCTTTGAAATCCTGGCTCTGGCCTGTCTCTCCCCTGTGCTAACGAGCAGGAACACAGGAGAGGAGGATATTTTTGATGCCATTAAGGTTGCTGCGCTTTGTCTGGGCTCCTTTTTTTAGTTGCTGGAGTCAGTAGTGAACTGGAACCAGAGCCTGTTGTTTGTTCTGCTTGGCTCCCGCCTGCCCCTGCCTTGGCACGTGCTCTCTGGGGTTGTGTTGCTTTAAAAAACAACAAAAAATAATGTGGAAGACTGATGTGTTGCACTTGCTGGAGCTGCAGAGCCCTGTCGCGCCGTGTCTGGACTGGGTGGGAACTTCTCTGCCAGGAATGTGAGTTGAAGGCAGGGATGGAGATGCCAGAGGGGCTGTCCGGCCGGGCAGGCACCTGCAGTTCTTTGCTCTGAGCTCAGTGCAATCCCACCTGTGCTGCGGGCTGAGCGCAGCCCGGCCGGAGCGTCCGGGTGGGAGCTGCTCCTCGGAGGTGGGTTTGTGTCGGAGCGGCGGCGGGATGCGGGGGCTCAGCGCCCTGCGGGATGCGGGGGCTCAGCGCCCTGCGGGATGCGGGATGCGGGGGCTCAGCGCCCTGCGGGACGCGGGGACCCTGGGCCCCGCGCGCTGCGAGGG